GTAAGTCTCATGCCTGAATCGTCATTATTATGGACTGCATGACCAGCAGGATACCCATCTTTTTCCCTCCTTGTACTCACCTTCCTCCCCTCCTTCATCGTAGGTAGCCATACTCATCGTCAAGATTTAAAGCACGAAAGAACAATAATAATAATAATAATAATAATAATAATAATAATAATAATAATAATAATAATAATCAAATTAATAATAATAATAGTAATAACACTAAAAATTAATTAAAATAATAATAATAATAATAATAATAATAATGGACGAACACTACTTATCGTTTTGGTCAGATACACGTTTAAAATCGGCGGGAGCTCGACAAATTAGACGCTTTCCTTTTTTTTCTCTTACCTATACATCCATATACACACACTCGGACGCACACAAACTCACGCACCTACACACATATCGCCGCGAATAATTTTATGTTCTAATGGTCGATTCACTCGGTTTCGTTTCATCCTATCGATGGTGATCCCGCCACACTCGCCACGTGATCAGTACACATACACACATATACACACACATACACACATATAGTAATGCACTTTGTTTTAGTTCAGCGGTAAATTTATTTGATTTTGCTCCTCGTCTCAGTAGAACTACCACGAGTACAGTCGTGGGTTTTAGAGACTTGCCTGATTCACTTGGTAGTATAGGTGTCACGACCAGTGCTCTTGTTGAAGCTCATTCGCTCCAACTTCAGAGCCTCAACATTCACGTCCGGACTATCCGTCTCCTTTGTTTCTGCGCTCGTCCTTCCTTTTCTTCACGTATTCCTATTTTTTCCATCGACGTTATTTACCTGAAGGTTCATCATGCAGGATCCGATCGAGCAGTATCCCTCATGTCGGAGTTTCCCATGTCTGTTGAAACTGCCTGCAACGCTCCGATATCCAACCACGCCTGTACTTGTCGCGAAGTCCCGGGAACATTCTCCTTGGCAAACTACGAAAAGTTCATCGAGTTCAACCTCATCCCCCAACTGTCTGGCTTCTGGCACGGGTCGGGGCCCATATTATCGTTCTCAACGGCCTCTCAATTGGGTTGCATGTCACATGTTCGAGCCTCGCCCGACGGGGACGGACTGAAAGCAAAGTGAGGCTCCCTGTCAAAAGAGGAGTTTGCTCAGGGGTCGAGCAAATTTGATCCTGAGTCTTCCGCCTAGTAATCACCACCCAAACCTACCGAGTTAGTTCCCACTTCGGATAAAAGTGGATCATCCTAGATACATGTAGAGTAGTAGGGTCCATTCGTCAGGTTGTCTGGGCCTGTTTTCTAAGTCTATGGGTGTGTATACTCGCTGGTCTGCGTGCTTGTCTAAGTGCTTTGTCGCTTTTTTTTTTTTTTTTTTTTTATCCCTCAAAGGTACTTCAAGTTGACTCACCGGAAGGCCCGTAGAATCAATACTCTTCCTATGGTCGTGACATTGAGAGTTACCACGGGGAAAATACTCAAGTGGCAGGAAAGAGTCCCGCGACACTTAGGAGTCGTAGAAATAACTTAGGTAATAGGTCGACCGATACCACACCAAACTGAGGTAAATGCGCCTCGTACTCCGGGCCGATTAGAAGAGACAAATTGACAATTTTAGAGGATCAGTACCGGTAAGTAGATAGGTACGAGCCCAAGTCTCAGTGCACGTCGTAGATGTCCTTGGTACAACACTTAACCTAGTCAACCCTTCGACCTTCTTTGTCAGAGAGTATTACTATCGATCCTAACCATCATAGCGTGCGTCATACCAACACGCGCGTGTACTCTCGAAATTTCTCACCGATTTGCTCCAGCCTCAATAGTCGAGGAAATCGTCTTATAGTGTTGTGTGAAGAACGTGTGCACTTCTTAGTTTAGACCGACTCCGTCATGGTGGTCGGCACAATTGATGTGTAGATTGTAAAATCATGGCCAACTACCCTTGTAAGGGTATTCGGTCCGACAGTATTCCAGACCGTATTAAGTGACGTCCCCGTCGGTGGAGAACTATATGCAAACAAATATGTTTTCTGACAAGCAATTTGTCAAATCCGAATCCCTGGAATGAAGTGTGGTTCACGATTGACATCGTCACCTCACGTTTCATTGTTACTGCTGGGGTTTTAACTCGGGTCTCCCATAATGAAAATCCAATAACTTGAGGTGGGGATACTTGATTTGTACTACAATACATAAAATCATCAAGTGTGACAGTGCTTCCTCCTTCTCCTCACCCTTAGACTTTGACCCAGGTTATCGTTGGTTGTTTTCAGGGTCGGTGTCCGCATGCGAACTCAACCCTTCAAACGAGGGTCCTAACCGAGAGCTCAAATGTCCAACCTTTGGTACAAATGTCCAAGGTTGCCAGCTGTCCTGCCCGAAGCCTAATACAGGAGGACAAGCAGTCTCCATCTTGACCCACCACAGTCCTGCTGATCAGGCCGGAGCTGCGGCCCACCATGTTGTTGTTTAACGGTGATTACCCTCGTTGGTTGTCCAACGAGGGATCTTCATACTATCTTTTTGAAAGTATATTCACAAATTTCAAGACTAATCTCAACCCCTCCGACGCCCACCTGAATAGGTCCTTTCACTGGGGTGACCATCCCCTCTAGTTTCTCTTCCAAGTCGTAGTCGAAGGGTCCACTGCCCGATTATGCTAGGTCAGCAGCCCACGCTGGGAGTTACGTCTTAACAATGTCAAATTTCCACCATAGGCTTGATAATTTATGTCCTCGTGTTAACCCTTGAGATGGATGAACAATGCTTCTTTAAAAATAGACCAGATAAATGAGATTTTCAAAACCAATTGAACTATCGTTAGGTTGCCATTCAGGGTTGTGCTCTCCACGTCTTTGATCTTAGCTCGGTGAGGCACGCACCTCGGGGTCATTTGTATATATATATAAAACCAATATTAGAGTTGAAATCAAAGCTTGTTGACTCTTTACCAACAAAACAAACATCCCATTCGAAGACGATTGCAAAATAACTTTACTCATTGAAAAAAGTTCGCCCATATCGTAGTACGGTTCAAATTTCAAGCACGGAGTTAAAAAATATGTAAATTATCACATTTATTCTTATTATTTCAGAGAATTCATGGTGGGTTTTGGTATGAATTTTATAACACTTATGCATAAGAAAAGATACGTTACCGAGAAGTGCGTCCGCAAGTTCCGGAAACTTTCAACCGCTGAATAAATACGCTTGCTAAGACGTGCATAGTTGTTACGTAAAATTCATTCCGACAACTCGAAAAATAAAAGACACCTTGAAGTTGGGAGGCCTCGACGGTCATTAGACTCATGCATGACCCACCAGTCGTAAAAAAATACCCCAACTTGAATGTCTGTTGATAGTCGAAAGGAAAAACAATAAAAACATAGGGGTCCATAAGTTCATTCAAGCACAAGAGCTAGCAGTCACATTCATAACCATACGCCTACACAACATAACAAATGACATATATCACATTTATAATGGCCTCATTGTGTAGTGAACACAGTGTGCATGTAGGAAATAAAATACAATTTTTATTCGTGAATCAAACTTATCCCCCTCAGCCACATATGCACAACTAATGTAGAATATTAAGTTGCCAAACGGACTACTCAGAGCACCTTGTTTGCTCGGGCGGCCTGACCGTGCAATGACAAAGGAAGGGCATAAGAAAAAAACGAAGTCTAAAAAATTTGAAAAAAATAAAGCTATGTAAAAAAAACTTGAGCAACTTTTTCATCAGGGTCACATCGAAATTCTTTACCGAATTGTCTGCGGGCCTAACTCAGTTGTTAAAGCACAAAAGTTGCATTCAGGAGGTCGTAGGTTCAATCCCCATTGACCGCCTGGGGAAGCTTGATGTTCAACCAGTTAGAGATAACCCGTTGGCCTTCCAAGCCAACATTGGCAGAGCGTTGGTTGATGTTGTTGGTTGATATGCATCGATAGTATTGGTCGTTAGACACCGCTAATGTGGGGTTGGGGGGTGGTAGGGGGAGGTGCAGTGACTGCCCATTGCTCGGTGCGAGCACCACCGATTTCCCCCATCAACAATGCCTGCCCACCCCTCATCATCACCGCGACGAGGGACTGATACAGCCTTGCTCTCGCACCACTGCTGTGGTGCCAACCTACCCGATGGGTTGGGGAGAGATCTGGGTTCGTTGATGCTCCCCCGTTCTATACATCATAGACTAGTGAGAGGATGAGATAAATGAGTACTAGCAAGAAGATGAGATAGATGAGTACTAGCAAAAAGATGAGATACATGAGAGCTATCGATCGTGGGCCCCTTTTGGAGTACACACACACACACACACACACACACACACTCTCTCTCTCACAAACACACGCACACATATTCTCCTGTCTATTGATGGGGAGCGCCACCTGCTGGAAACTGGGTCCAGCGTCCCATGAACATTGTGAATAAAGCACCAACTGGGACACCCCCCCCACTCTCTTCAAGTTGTGCATAGCGAACATGACAAAACATACATACGGCATAATCACTACCTCACCCTTCCTGAACCACATCAACAAACAAACTACGGGCTGCGGCGGTGATGGTGAGCTGGTATCAGACCATAAGCGAAACTGGGAAATGCTCCGAGCCTTCCGGGTGATTGGGAGGCCGCGGCCTCGAACTTCATTAGTACCTTTCCGCGCTTGAAAAACAACGTCCGGGGACGGGCCGCCATTGATAAGTTCCATCGACGGCCCATGTTGCGTTTCGGGCCTCTGAAAGTCGCGGCGAGGGGCCCGCGGGAGATATAAGGGGGGTCGAAAAAACTTTTAGGGTCATGGGCATCCGCAGTCCGACTGGGACGGCCCGGATCGTTGCAAGAATGTAGCCATTATCGAATCCAGGCCGTCGCATCTTACGGGTCGACGGCCTGGATCGTCACACGATCTTAAGGATTTAAGACCGTCGGCCCAGTACTACAGAGGCCAACGGCCCTGATGGACCTAGAATAGAATAGGCCTAGCGGTGGGTCCTATCGCAGTGTGCATACCGCCGTGTGTGCGGGTGCTCGCGGCGGTGCATGCTTGCGTGGGCGCGGTTGTGCGCGCGTTCGTACTTGCGTGTGTGCATCTGCGTGCTTGTGGCCCGTCTGGGTGTGGGTGTGTGGGTGTGGGTGCGGGTGGGTGGGTGCCGGTGCGGGTGGGGTTGCTTGTTGGTGTGCGTGTGTGTGGGGTGGGGGGGTGTTGAGATTGCCACACACACACACACACACACACACAGACAGACAGACACATACACACACACACACACACACACACAGAGGGAGAGAGAGAGAGAGAGAGAGAGAGAGAGAGAGAGAGAGACGTGGGGAAAGGGAAAGCATGCGTAGTGTTCTGCTCTAGATTGATGTCGGAAGCCGCCAAAAGTCGAACCTTGTTTTTTTCGCCGAAGAAGCGGCGAACAGCTCTGCGGGAAAGAGGTAAGCCGGGATCTTAACCTTTCTCCTCCTCCTCCTCCACCTCCTCCTCCTCCTCCCGCTTTTGCCCTCGACTGTCCATCTTTCAACATCATGTCGCAATATCCGTCTGCACCTGCTTTACCCAGCTCTGTTCCCCATGGCGACCTAAGCTCCGGCTTCTTCGGCGTTCGTCATTTCGAGGAGCGGTGAACAGCCCCTCACGAAAGAGGTAAGCCGCGATTTTATCCTTTCTCCTCCTGCTCCTCCTTATCCTTTCTCCTCTTTTGCCCTCTACTCTCCATCTTTTGGCATTCTGTCGCACTCCTTTACCCATCTCTCTTCCCCTATGGCCACCTAAGCGCCGGTTTCTTCAGCTCTCATCATCACGCTCTGCTTGCGTACCATTCCTTTCGATCTATCTCAATAGCATCGTTGGTTCATTCCAGGCGACCAGCTCATGCCAAGTTTTGTTGATTTCTCTTTGTGTCACACACACGCGCACACACACACACACAGAGAGAGAGAGAGAGAGAGAGA